CAGCAAGTTCCAATGCTCTTGGTTGAGAGACAGGCCCTAAATGAAGCCATGGAAGGAGAAAAAAATGTAAGGTTTATGCTTTATAAACATAGTACCTCTACCCAAGTTCCAAATTTTTTGTAATATTCGTCTTGTTGCCAGGGTCATCATCACATGCCCGAGACAAGAGGACTTTGCCTGTCTGAAGAGCAGACCGTTAGCACTGTATGAATATCTTTCAGCAGCATCTTACTTTTAAATGTGTATCATGAAATTGTGAAGTCCTCGTTTTTTTTTTTTCTCTTTAAGATTGAAGTTTGTGCTTATTTTCCCCAAAAATTCAGATTTTGAAGCGGCCGAAAATTGGTGGACATCGGATAGTAGATATGTTTACTGAGCCTTATAAGCTAGTTCGAGAATGTGAGGTGACTGCAATTCTTATTTTGTATGGTCTTCCTCGGTGAGCATTGTTTCTTTTGTTGCTTCTAAATAGTCAATGCTTTCACTTTCGGGACAAAATAAGAAACCTCTTTTCTTTTCAGGTTATTGACAGGTTCCATCCTGGCTCATGAGATGATGCATGCATGGCTGCGACTTAAAGGTGATTTTCATCTTACTTAAATTGCTTCCCTTGCAACTCACTCAAGTGCATGTCAGGTCTGAAGAATTCTATAATGAATAGCAATTTAGCTTGTTTTCTTCCTAGTTCTATCCAATCCCCAATACCAAATACACCATAAGCGCATCGTGTTGCTTGAACTACCGTTGCTTTTGCAGGTTACCCATATCTAAGCCCAGAAGTGGAAGAAGGTATCTGCCAGGTGTTAGCTCATATGTGGCTAGATTCTGAAATTCTTGCCGGTTCTGGTAGTAATGCAGCTTCAACTCCATCATCATCTTCCTCCACCTCATCAGCAGCTTCATCATCATCTAGTTCTTCGAAGAAGGGCAAACGATCTCAATTTGAGAAAGAACTCGGTAAGTTTTTCAAACATCAGATTGAGTCGGACCCTTCAACAGCTTATGGAGATGGTTTCAGAGAAGGCGATAAGGCTGTGATCAAGTACGACTTGAAGACAACGCTTGATCATATTCAGCTTACTGGAAGCTTTCCGTGCTGACTTCGTTGGTGGTTTACTCTAGATTTTCCACTCAGACATCATAGTGTTTGCCTGTTCATACTAGCTTGTACACGATTAAATGAGTAAAACTTAAATTAAAAATTAAAAACAGATGGATAGACGAAAAGCTGGGGGTTTTAAAAATGAATTAAGTGATTCTGCTGTCTCTTGTAAGTTTTGACATTAGGCAGTTCATATTTTGTGTCAAATATTCATATGTAAAAGGATATCAAATGTTCATATTGGACATAGGCAAAATAAATATTATCCGACTATTCTTAAAAAACAGAAGGATTACAATGTTTGAGACTTTGTTTGGTACAATTACTAAGCCTTTTGTGTATTTGTTACTCTGTTTGGATATTTTTTTTTGAGAGAATGTCTCGTAAAATGTGTGATTGAAAATGATTTTCAGAAAATCAATCCCAACCAAGTTGTCAGTTTAATACTGTTTACCAAACATGTCGCTGTTGGAAAATATGACGGGAAGTATCTAAACTTTTAATATTGGATATCATCTATGAAAAGTCAGGTATGAACTCAAAAAGGATGCTCTATCAGGCAACTTCTGCTGTCTGTTCCATTTGTTCCTCACGTAAGAGGACAAAACAGATTAGACTACTGTTATTCCTACTACCTAAATTTATGGTTAAGGACAACCAATAATGCAGAAATTAAGGGGAAAAAAATACAATATATATTGGTGTAGCCATCAACTATCTATTTTCTTAATATTTCTGCTAATTTCTTACATACAATTTAAAAATAAGGACGAGTTCTTGCCGTCCAAACCTGGATTTTTGTAATAAACTAATCACAGTTCTTTCAAAAGACTGTATCATAAAAAGAATCACCATTAAAAAATTAGTCCAACCATGACAGTTTCCTCAAGTTGATTGCCCTTGTGCATTATTATATCAGGATTTTTGTTAAATCATCAATAGTTTTTCTTCGGTTGAACGGCTTTTGTATATACCGTTAATAACACCCTGACAACTTCTCTTTTGTCCCCCTAAATACATAATTTATACACTCAGTGAGCATACAATCTAAGTTCAAAGCAAATGGCAGTTCATTCTTTGCTCTCAGTATTTTCATTGTTCATTTTTTCATTCTCCCTTGTCACAGCTCAATCTCCTAATGCTGCAGATACAAATTTTATGTGCTCCAAGAACTCGCCTGTATCGTGTGATACATATGTTACATACAGAGTGAGATCACCTTATTCAGATCTAGGAAATATATCTGAACTGTTTCGAGTCAACCGATCAGTTATAGTAACTGCTAATGGTTTAGCATCGGAGAATGCTGAACTGGTTCCTGGTCAGCTCTTACTGATACCGATCACATGTGCTTGCGATGGACTGAATTATTTCTCTAATGCCACGTACAAGATTAAGAAGGACGACACCTTCTATTCGGTTTCAATCAAGCCTTTTCAGAACCTCACAAATTATCATGTGGCGATGGACATGAATCCCACATTGAAAGCAAACAACTTGACAATTGGGGAGCAAGTGGTCTTCCCTTTACTCTGTAATTGCCCTGGAAATTCCTATTCAGACAAGGGGATTAAATACCTTGTGACTTATGTATGGCAACCGGTTGATGATTTAAGCTCCGTAAGTAATATGTTTAAGGCATCACAGCCAGATATTGCAGAAGAAAACAATAACAGAAACTTCACTGCTGCAATTTTTCTACCGGTTTTGATCCCAGTAAAGTCTTCTCCAGTTCTACAGCAACGTTTTCCTCCTCCTGCCATTGTGAAGAAATCAAAAAGTCATTGGCTCCTCATTGCAATTTTAAGTACTGTAGTGGCTCTTTTGATTATTTTATCAAGTGTATTGGCGTATATACACCTTTTACACAAGAAAAAGAGAGCATTGGCCCGGAATAGTTCTTCGCTGGAAACATCTGATCTGATTCCAACCAAGAAAGTTCCTAAAGTTGAAATATTTGAGCAGAAAGCGATTCAGGATAAGCTGCTTCCTGGAGTTTCAGGATATCTTGGCAAGCTGATACTGTATGAACTGCAGGTTATTATGAAGGCAACTATGGACCTAAATGAACGGTATCGTATTGGAGGATCAGTCTACAGGGCGATTATTAATGATCAGGTTTTTGCAGTAAAGAAAACACGAGATGCCACAGAGGAGCTGCAAATACTACAGAAAGTAAATCACGCGAATTTGGTGAGGTTAATTGGTGTTTGCTCAGACAATGATGGGAATTTTTTCATAGTTTATGAATATGCCGAGAATGGATCACTAGAGAAATGGCTTTCCCGAAAACGTTTGTCAACTTCGGGCACAGGGGAATACCTCACTTGGAGCCAGAGGTTATTTATAGCCCTAGAGGTCGCAAATGGTATCCAGTACATGCATGAGCATGCTCAACCAAGCGTCGTTCATAAGGATATCAGAACAAGCAACATACTCCTCGATTCTACTTTCAGAGCCAAGATTTCAAATTTCTCTACGGCAAGGCATGCAACTTGCTCTATCATGTTAAAGATTGACGTGTTTGCTTTTGGAGTTGTTCTTCTCGAGTTACTTTCAGGCAAGAAAGTTATGGAAGCCAGAGATAATGGTGAAGTTGTCATGTTATTCAAAGAAATAAAGGGAATCTTGGAAGATGATTATTACAGAGAAGAGAGGATAAGGAGGTGGATGGATCCAAACTTAAAGAACTTGTACCCTATTGAAGGCGCTCTAAGCTTGGCAACCTTGGCAACAGCATGCACATCAGATAAATCCTCTGATAGACCAGGAATGACAGAAATCGTCTTCAACCTATGCGTTCTGACTCAATCGTCTCCTGAGATGTACGAAAAGTCTTGGACATCAAAATTTGAAGTTGAGGAAGTTGTGCCTGTTATTAGTCCAGTCATAGCTCGTTGATTCAGCATATACAAGCAGAAGTTTGCATGTGTAATTTTTCTTATCATGTAATATGGAAAAACTGAAAACAATCGTGTATAAATTTTCTTGCAGAGAAATTTTCAAATGATTGCTTTCGTTATCTTTGTTTAATGCTGATGAAAAAAATTCCTCTTCTGTGAATAGAAAGATCAGCCATTACAATTGTTGTTTGTTCATTACAGACATTCAAATTACAAAACCTGATATAAACTCATTACTGTAGTCCAACGTCAATGAAAAAGGATTCTAAGTTCTGGACGTCTAACTGGATCTTCATCAAAGCTGAAACTACTTCAGTCATGCACGACCTGTTTTCTGGTTCTCGTGCCAAGCACGCAACGCTTAATTTCACCAAGCGTAATGCAAATTCAGTTTGATCTATGATAAAACCAAGAGAATTCTTTACTTGGAGGCGAGGGTTGATTAGGTCCTTAATCTCACCATTTGCATTTGTTCCATCCATGGTTGACATGATTTTTTCTGACAGAAAAACTTCTTCTCCATTCTCCAGGAAAACAGCCTCTTTTCCTGTAATCAGTTCTAACAGAACAACCCCAAAGGCATATACATCAATTTTTGGAGTCACGTTTCCATCTCGTAAATACTCGGGTGCCATATAACCTTTTGCTCCCAGAACACAGCTTGTAAGCGAATTTCCATTTTTCTCCCTCTGGGCTAATGTTGCAAGTCTGAAATTCGCAATCTTGGCCTTAGATCTCCGTTTAGTAAGATATTGCAACTGTTAATATCCTTATGCACATATGCTGGAGCAGCAAAGTTGTGAAGATAATGAAGCCCATTAGCAACATCTAATGCAATACGAATCAAGTAATTCCAGCTCTGAACATGTGGACAGTTCACTTTCTGGAGCCATTCATTTAAAGATCCATTTTCCATGAACTCATAAACAAGATAGACATCTCCATCATGCTCACAGACACCATATAGACTAATCAGATTGAAGTGATTGATCTTACTAAGAATTTCAATCTTCTTTGCCACGTCTGTGCTCGTCTTTTTTACGGCTACTAATTTTCCCCGAAGAACCCCATGATGAACAGAATTACTCAGCTTCTTCTGTGCACTGAAGTTTCCAGTAGCTGCCGCCAATTCTTCAAATGGATATATTTTCAGCATTTCCTCGATTCCAGCAACTTTATCTAGGATATGCTCCTGTAACTTCCACAGATTTCCCCCCTGCCTACTATTCGAAGAGGCTTCATTTGATCTGTTTTTCCTGTGATAGAAGAAACCTAGACACAGCAAAAAACAAAAAACTGCTAATGAAGCAGCAGTTCCTATCCCAACACGAAGTCCTCTAGAGGATCTTTTATGCTTCTTCTGAGGAGTACTTACTGGACTTTGATTAGAACTAAATGTTGGGTGGTAAGTTCTTGTTTGAGAGCTCAAGGGTTCTGTTTGAAGAGGGATCATTATAGTTGTGAAGGGATAAAGAATTGAATTCTCATCAGAAAAACAATTGGCGTCTACTATACTTCTGCCCCTGATATGAGTTTTTTGCGATTGTGAAATAGGTTTCATCAACAACTTGAGAAACATAAGATGCGTTGGCCTGATAATACTGACCCGAACAGGAACAAGTTACAGGAACTATAACGTCTTGGTCCGGAGGCAAAATGTCTGAATTTGAGATATTATTCAGGTGTGCAAATTCCAGTGGATCTGAAGATGTAAGATTCGAAATGGAAGGGCCTGAAACATAAGGAGGTTTTGTTCTGAAAATTAAGAAGGCCTTGCAGGAAGGCTTTTCACCATTGCACGTATAAAGAAAAGCCGGAGATGGTCCTGTTGCATCAGAGTTGTTGCAATCAAAAATCGAATTTTCTGAATAAATCTGTTGTGCAAGGGAACTGTATGCTAAGAAGCCAAATATGATGAAAAATCGAAACAGACATTGTTTGAAGAGCCGATGAGCAAGTGAAAAGTGCGAAATTCTAATCATAACGAGTAGATGGAGTACTAATTTGTAACCTTAAATGGGGATTAGAAACGCTAATTTTGAACAAGTTTAGGAATCAGATAACTTATTATGGCATGCAAAACTTGCTCCTTCATAAAACACTGGCCTTAAACAATCAACTGTTTCATCAAACAACGTTAGACTTGTGGGGGAAAAAACGACTCTGTACATATAAAAGTTGAGAGAATGAGCCTCCCTTGACAAGTTACGAAAATGACTTCGTTGATGAGAACACAGAGAAAGCTTGAATCTTCACACAATAAAGAATGTTGTCTTATGTCATGAAAGTTGAACCATCTAGCAGTATAATATAGAGATTTACAGAACAACAGGAAAGGTAACTCTCAAAATGCAAATCTATCATTAGAATTATTGGCAAAGAAACACATTCTGCTGATTTAACGCGAATTGTAAAATATAAGAAAGAATGCAGTGACTATTCAAGCCAAAAATTATTGACTTGGTCCTTTCAATGCAACAGGCAAACCTACAAAATACAATATTATTTATTTCCTGACAAGAAATAAATTGGCTTCTTGTACTTGTTCTTATTCCCGCAGCCGGTTGTCATGGGTTAAGACAGCCGTGCGGCGCCGGAGTTAGAGGCCCTGTCAAACGGAGACTCTCTACACTTTTTATTAGTTGATAGAATAAATAAATTCTCTTTGGGGGAATGAAATCAATTCTAATTTTGTTAATCTATAATTAAAGGGAGTTATTTTCATCCACCATTCTTACTTGCATATCTCACTCTAAATTTATTCATATTAAAATTTAAAAATTTTATAAAATTATTATATTCATCCACGTTATATTCAAAAAAAATTTATTAAATTTATTCATTTAAACACTATATTATATTCATATTGCTTTTATATGAACATACTATTTTTATTTGTTACACTATATTTTAATTGTATTTAAGGTATGAGCTTTGCTAATTGTAGCATTTATGTCCTCAACTTTTGTTCGTCAAATTTTTATTTTCAACTTTTCATTAATTATTATAGAATAATGTTACTTAAATTATATAATAATTTATATACATATGAGGTGTCAAATAGATAGTGGTAAAGTTTTTTTTTTTATTATTTGGTTAAAGAAGTTCTGACCCAATCATATTTCACAACATCATATGTATGTAAATCATTATATATATGTAGTACAATCAATTATTATATGTCATCGTTGAAATGAATTCTGTCAAATAATATTTACGCGTCTTAAATTAATAAGCCTTTGTTTGAGCCACATTATTGCAATGAAAATACATTTTTGAATAGTATATTAATGGAAAATGTGTGGTTAAAAAATAAAGAAATATTTTGAATTTGCATGTAATATAATTTTATTAAAGATTGTGTGTTTGAAATAATGTCAAATCATTGTTGAAAAAAGTATTTTTTTTCAAATAATGTGACTCAAACAAGGCCTAAGAATATGTTGTTGCACTTTTATATTAATTATTTTTTAAATATGAGGAATATGTAAAACTTTGGAAAAATTGCAGCAACGGTCCCAAACCTTTGAATTTTTTGCAGACTTTACTCTAACTTTCAATTTGTTCACCCACAGTCTCAAACCTATCATAAATTCGCAGCAGAGGTCCAAATAGACGGAAACCGTCCAATTTGACCATTAGTTGATCAATAAAATTGAACTCTAATCAATTTAATAGGGTAAAATGGTAATTTGCTATTTTACCTTATAAAACAATTAAAATAATTTAACAAAAACAAAATAAAAAGAAAAGGCAAAAAACCAGCCACCATCGACCCACCACCAAACCAGCAGCCCCTCAACCACTAACCACCACTGACCCACACTGTCGAAGAATAGCCATAACAATGGTGGACACTGCCATTGAAGAATAGCCACAGCAAAACTATCCACCTCATCCTAATCTAAAATCGACCCCACCTTCCACCGTGCCAATGCCGCGATCCCCACCACAACCACCATCGGCAACACCACAAACAACCCACGACCCATCCCAAGCTTCAGCACACTATGAAGATGATGAACCCAAAAGCAACAATGGAGGATTTTAAAAATCGACGAACACCCTTCTTCAATGCAATCATCGGTGAACACCCTTATTCAAAAATCTATACGCCATTTTCTCGACTAGTAGATTTTAAAAACCATTCAAATATCATGACAGCCTTGTGATTTGGGAGATTTTATAATTTTGGAAAAGGGAAAAATTGAAATCTACTAGTAAAGGTAATTTGGGGATTTTTGTATGGGATTGTGCATTTGGTGGATGTTTAACAGATTTTAAAACAATCCCGCTACTGAGACAGGGTAGACAGGCTAAAAGACAGGAATGACGTGGCGTTTGGAAAAAAAAAAGCCACATTTTATAGTGGAAAAAGCCAAACATCACCCCAACCTTCTCTCTCCAAAGCCCACAGAAATCATCTCTCTTCAAAGTCCAGAGAAATCCTCAAATACAACTCTACAAATTCGATGGTGTCCCTGCATCAGGAGCAACAAGCTCCGATCGTCGTTGGAAACGAGGTTTTAGAAAATCAATAACCCACAGTTGAAATTCGAAAACTCAACAGCCTATCGCTGTCATGCATCATTGTCAAGAATTGATATATACATCAGCCTCCAGCTCAGTTGACAACAAATCACAGTATCAGCACTTGTTCATCCTTGCTGTCTCATCTTCCGTTTCACCAGAATACTGCCACTCTGATTTCTGTTATCAATATATTCCTAACATATTCCATAATTTAAGGAACTAACTTACAGCTGTAGAAATCTAGAATATTCTTTTGTACACTCCCTTGTATTATATATTTACTGATGCTGAAGCAATGAAAGATAAGGTAAATTTCCATTCAACATCTTTCTGAATTTCCAACTTGGTATTAGAGCCAATTCATGGCCAACACTGGTAATACACCACAAAGCACTGAACCCAACTCTACTCCTGTATTAACCTCAAGCAATACTGTTGCTCCAATGCAGGGAAGCAACCATCTCTCACCCCTTGGTGTGAATCTGACCCAAGTAGTGTCAGTCAAGCTTGACAAAAACAATTTTCTGCTATGACAAAATATGATTCTGCCTATCATTCGTGGACACAACCTTGAAGGCTATATTCTGGGGACAAAGG